AATCAAGAAGAGAGAGAGAGAAAAATGATATCTATATATATATATATATATATATATATATGTATGTATAGACATATAACATCCTCTACAGAATAAGAAAACATTATGGATTCTTTGGAAAGATACCGGAGAAGTTGGGAATTTTATCAACGTGCTTCAAGGCATGCTCTGCGATCTGTCGTGTTCGATAATCGCCATGTTGAAAAGCATCTACAAGGGCTAAACCTATATTTGGATCTCCCGAAACTTCGTAGGCTATATCGTCTGTTCGCAATAGCCTCTCGACTGCCCAAACCGCCCTCCTTTTTAGACTCTCGGTCCGTTTCTCGAGTAATACATCGAATACAGGTTTGATTCCTTCTGCATCCATTAACACCTGAACTCCTTGCTCGACATCAACCCCGTCATCCAACAAAGTTGACAGGGCTGCAAGTGATGCTTCAATGACCTGGTCATTGTTGTGGTCGAGAAGGGCGACCAACTTTTCGACGGCATGTCCTTCCAAAAGACAAAAAGTTTCTTTCAACGAACACATCCCTCGATGAACCCTACACAATCCAGTTAGGATGGGTGGCTTGCTTAAACAAGGGAAGATCGAGGCACAAAATCCCGAAGTAGGAAGCTCTGGTAACTTGGTCAAATTTTTCGATTCTTGGGAGAGGTTCTCTAAAGCCATGGCTGATACCATTTGTACATTATCAAGGCCATTAGCTTGTAGAAGGTCAATGAAGAGCGACGCTACATTGTGTTCACGACAAAGTGCAAGGGCAGAACCTGACTCTTCAGACAGGGCAAATGTAATTCTTGCAAGAACCTTAACAAGTCCTTCCAAATATGGAGTCATGAACCGGCTGCCTCTCATCTCCCCTTGTCTGATCATGATTACTCGAGAAATGAACAGCTGAAATGCACCTTCGTCTAGAATCTGCCTCGTGAGACCAACGTCCCTTTCCGGTAGATCAGCCAAAAGCGCGACAGCTGCTGACTGCTCCTCGGTTATCGCTATGTTTTCCAATATTACCCTTATTAGGCTGCCAAGTTGACCAGAAGTACCACGTAGGCAACCTGTTAGTTCCTGACCCATGTACGGAGAGAGATTCTGAAGAAGTTTTATCGAAGCCATCCTCAAATCCCTCTGGGGAGCCTCAATAAACTGCACCAAACTAATAGTAGCCCCAGAACTTTTAATAGCAGAAACAACACTGGAAACAGTTGTAGGGGAACTCGTTAGCCCAACCAGAACCTGAAAAAGCCTGCATTCTATTGCAGGGCCTGTGTTGCTAATAAGATGGAGGAGATTATGAATTATTTCCTTGGATACCAGAGTTTGGTTATCAGGTCCAACTGGGATGGAATCAAAATCATATCCTGAGATCACAACATTTGCAAGAATTGTAGCTGAAACTTCTTTTAGTCGCATGGGCAGCTGGTTCGAGCCAACGGTAAAGAGATCATTGACAAGAGGTGGAAGTACACCTGCCTCTATCAAGACCTTGGCACTCGACTCATCTGACGAAATTTGATTTAAAGCTTTAAGAGCAGCCTCCCTTGACTGCATATTAGTACTCTTCATGAGATTAATCAGGGCTGAACCAGCCGTCCTAGCTACAAAGACTTTCACATCATTGTTTAAAACCAGCTCGCCTAGGAATGCAGCCATCGACAATTTAGTTTCTGGAGTGCCTGCAGCAATGCAATAGAACTCTTAATGGCATTTTTTGGCAACATGGATTCAAAAGGACGAGGCAGTCTTAACAAAGAAAAAGGAGTTAAAATTTTATCCATTGTATTGTCTAATTTTGTACAGTACAGTTTGCCATACATGCCCTTATGATTGTTTAGTGGAGTGAACTATACAGAGCAATATTTAGGTATAAAAGGAAGTTAAAATCTAGTCCATGATACAGTCTAGTCCTTCCTAGTATAGCGTTACAAACATGCTCTTATTGGCTTCCATCCTAATTTTCCAAAGTTCTGCCAATTTATGTCATGGTACAGTAAATAACACCGCAAACATCATATCGTGCCCAGCACAGAAAAAGAAGTTAAAATTTTCTCCATTGTATTGTCCAAAATCATGGAACAAATAGGGTGGGTAGGCCCAAGCA